TACAGGGTGATCCATTTAAAATATTGCCCGATGACGTCATATCTTGAAAATCATTACGTATGCGGGAAATCTGTAAACATCAATAAAAAACTTTTATCTAAGCCATAAATCAAGTGTTCCGCCCATATAAAATGACCCTGTATAGTATGAGGTATTCTAGCGCTAATTGCAATTTTAACCCTATTTTAAGTAGGTCTAATATTATACAAAGACGACCTTATCTTTACCCTAAAATAATATTACTGACCCATTTGACAGAACTGATATTTAAGGTTCCATAAAAGTCTCTAAGAACGGCCAATAGTGTCCGAAATCATATATTGAGAGGCCGACGCATAAAAGTATTGATATAAAACTCGCTTCTCCAGTGATCGGCCTCTATTTCAGCGATAGGAGACAGCAGCAAGCAACGGCGTAAAACGACCGAAAAAGGTCTCTTTACGTCGGAACACATGCAATTAAATGAACATCGAGACCGATGAAAGAGACGCGATAGCACTTTTAACACGGCAATATTTGCTGCCATGCTGCTGTCATTTGCCTCAATCTCATTTCGCTCTAATATTTTTGGTAACTGATTTTGGCAATTAACTTTGTTTTTGGACACACTCTGTATATTTTGGCGGTATCTTTCTGTGTCTTATTAGCTGATAGGTTATGGTATTTGTATGACTGAAATCATGTGACATTTTAATCGGATTTCATACACTTTTTCTTTATGCCACACTGTGCAGATATCACTTACAGTCTAATCCCTGGTACCAGCGCCATGACCCTGTTATAATAAGTTTTGACTATTCTTGCGACAGGGGAATGTTTGCCCCAACTAAGATTTGATTTCTGTTCTAGGGACACTGATTTTAGTTATATTTACTTTTATTTTTATACCATAACCTGTATATATATTTTATTACTTTTTGTCCAAAGGACATAGTGTGTATATAAAAAAAATACTTGTATGCTTTAACGTCACATAATTCTAAAAAATTATGATAACTGATATTTTATGTTAGAAGTTTTTACTGTGGCTGTATTACTATAAAGCCTGGGGGTACATTGTTAAGTTTCACTAGTAAGCTCATTTTTTTGTAAGTCAGACATGCTAACCGCGAGGTCTCCGGTAACCTCGGGCATGGATGACGGCTTGGTCGTTCCAGCGTGCGACATGACAGAATGGGACTTATCCGACGAGCGTTTAACCATTGACGATGCCGAATGAATGACCTAGGCCAGTGCTCGCCAACCTCTCAATGTGTTGAGCTACTTTGTTAATTTTGGAATAAACAGCGAGCTACCCACACGGAAGCCACGTAACGCAACGTAAATGAAATAATCCACAGTTAATTTATCATTATATGTATTTATTTAACTATTTAACTGGTAATACATAATACATACGTACTAATAATAAACTAATAACAAAATAACTAATATTACCAGTACGTACTTGTTCATAGCTACATTCCTACCTACCAAACGAAGGTGTTTGAAAAATAAACACAAACTTTTATCCAGCCACAACGGCATGTCACGTAAGATTTAAAAATAGTTAATAATAACAACAAAAAAGTAACGCACTATCATGAATATAAACATTGAAAAATAAAAAAGCACGTTCAATGAGAAGGCTGACTCAGACTCATCGATAATTTTTTTAATGTTTGCAGTATAATTTTATACAGCCATTCGAATACAATTATCCAAATGTTCATCTGTAAGTCGATTGCGATATTTGTTCTTAGTAAACTTCATATTGGAAAAAGAAGATTCACACAAATAGGTTGAACTGAATAATGCTTTTACTTTCAAGGCAACACGGCATAGAACTGAATATTTGTCTTTACTTACAATAGGCCAGATACATTTGGTACCTGAGACTAACGATTTTAAGGCTAAATCATTTTGAAACTCAATTACTTCCATTTCTGTTGCAGCGATGTCTTCGCCAAAGTTCTGCATAACACAAGTTACAAACTGTTGGATATCAATTTCCATAAAGGGCGAAACAACAAACTGCGCTACTAAAGCCATTTCGTTGAAATCCTTAAAACGATTTTTGAAGTAATTCTTCAGGGTAGAAACTATTTCTACATGATATTTGCTGTCATAGGGTTCTAATGGATTTTGAGATATTTTTTCTGAAAGAATAGGAAAATACTTGGCATCGCTGTTAATTAGGTTTTTTTCCCAAAACTCCAGCTTTTTGAAAAATGTTTTTATATCAGAAATCATTTCCGCTAGTTCTTTGTCTCTCCCCTCAAGCTGCAAATTAAGTTCGTTTAATTTCTCTGTAATGTCCACGAGAAAACCAAAATCTCTAAGCCAGATTGAATTTTCTAGTTCCGGAGTCGGTTCATCGCGTTGTTTGAAAAATTGAACTACCTATGCCAGATAGGACATCATTAAAACGTTTTCAGCACCCGTCCTCTACTTAACCATCGGACTTCAGAGTAAAGGAGTAGGTCCCCGTATTGACAGTCAACTTCATCGGCCAAGGTTTTGAATAATCTTCTTTGTAACGCTTGAGCTCTAATCTTGTTCACAATTTTTACCACCAGTTTCATAACATTGTTTAGTTTCAGGAAATTTCCACATAATGCTTGCTGATGGATAATGCAGTGGTAACAGAGAAATTGCGGAAAAGTTTCATCTTTACGACATAACGCCACCAGACCCTTATCACAACCTTCGAGCATATATTACTAGAGTCATCGTCCAAATGGACTTTGTTTTGGTACAGGTCCAGCATTCCCATTGGTCTGTTTCGTTTTGCTTGGCATGTCAAATCGTTCGAAATTGTCAGAACTGTCATTTGATTTTTGACTTTCATTAATTTCTAGCTTATCTTTGTAATTTATGAGTGATTTTTTGTATTTTATTACTTTAGTGATATAAATTTTAACAATGGTGAGAGGTGGGTGAGAGTTTGTGTAAGTTTTAAATAAAAATACTAAAAGGCATCGTCAAGGTCATTCCACAAGTAAGTAACCATTAGCGTCTCTACCATTTTTTTAAAAGAAACATAAGTACCCACATTTTATGCAAAAGTCTGTTAAACATGAATTTAAAATAAATGGTAAATTTAGTGAATTAAATTTAAAGAACTTATATTATGTATGAGAAATATTGTTTTAGATTTTGGACTTCAATATTAACAAGTTTTTCGTTTTCAACTCATTTTATCATGATAATGTTGAAGATGTTAAATCAATAATTTTTTTTTATAGGTTTCTAACTAATCCTGCCGAAAAACGCATTTGATGAAACATATTGAAACTTACTCCAGAAAACATTTCAAATAGTGATGTTTTATGTTCCAATCATTTTCTGGACATATGTTTATGTCAAAGACTGGATGTGGAGGAAGAACTAGATTAATTCCAGGGGCATTGCCATCAGGACTTACTGAGACCCCAGAAGAAGATGAAACTAAAAGGTAAAGAACCCTGCACTTGTGGGTTAATCGTTCAAAATTTTTTATTTTTCAGTGATGATCTAAACCATGAAGCCTCTGTTGCAGAATAAGAAAATGCAGAATTAGAAAGCATATAAGTAACTAAGTACTTTTTAATACAACATAAATTTTATTTTCAAATACTTACCTATTACCAACTATATTTTTTATAAACAACAAAAATTGGCAATCATTATTTTTTATTAAATATACCTATGTTCTTTAATTAAGTAGACTGCTAGTCGTTAAGAAATAAGCAAAGCCTAGTGTGATTTTTTTTCATTAAAAAAGTCATTTTAAGCTTCTTTTCTTTGTACTCCTAGTCATTAAGAAATAATCAAAGCTTAAGACTATTTTACGATAAAAATTAAGCTTCACTTATTTGTTAACGACTGGTAGTGCAAATGTACCTAAGTATTAGCTTGATTTCTATTTGTATATCGTTTAGTAATCTATTGAACATTATTTACGAACAATATTTTTATGTTTAATAAATTATTGGAACAAATTCTTTTATTGTAATTCTCGTACATGTATGTTAATAGATATCATAAATATTTTTATAATATACCTAATATTTATTTATATTTTTGATTTTTAAATATAAGCTCTTTATCTTTTTTATTGCCCTTTATTTCAACCTTCATTTTTCCGTATTACACTTTCTGATGTTTGAATTAAAAAAATCTGATGTGTCCAACACAAATAATAAATAATAATAATAATAATAATAATAATAATAATAATAATAATAATAATAATAATAATAATAATAATAATAATAATAATAATAATAATAATAATAATAATAATAATAATAATAATAATAATAATAATAATAATAATAATAATAATAATAATAATAATAATAATAATAATAATAATAATAATAATAATAATAATAATAATAATAATAATAATAATAATAATAATAATAATAATAATAATATTATTTCAGGGAGATGCACTAAGTGCTCTATGGTTTTGTATGTGCTTGAATCCACTAAGTCGAACATTAAACAACACGCAATATGGCTTTATTATTAAGAACGAACAGGGCAATAACTGCAAAATATCCCACCTTTTATATATGGACGATCTAAAAATATATGCGAACTCTAGGACAAAACTTAATACTCTATTAAAAATTACTAAAACCTTCAGTGACTCTATTCATATGGAATTTGGACTAGATAAATGCAAGATAATTGATCTTGAAAAAGGGACCTTAAATAATTCTAATCATTTTATTATGGACAACGATAAAGTCATAGAAAGCCTTAGCCCAGGAGACAATTATAAATACTTAGGAATCATGCAACTCAGAGGAATCAACCACAGTGAAATTAAAGTAAAGTTAATAGATGACTTTAAAAAAAGAATACAAGCAATATGCAAAACAAACCTCACCAGTGCAAACAAAATAAAGGCTATAAATACATATGCCATACCGACACTCACATATTCCTTTGGTATTATAAAATGGTCTGCTACTGACCTGGAATCCATATGTCGAACTACTCGTGTAATATTAACAAAATATCGAATGCACCATCCCAATTCAGCTATAGAAAGAATATCATTACCGATAGATGTGGGAGGTGTAGGCATACTAGATATCCACCGTCTTCACCAATCGCAAATAAAGGCTCTCAGGCAATATTTTCATGAAAAATCCACTAATCATGCCTTGTTTAGAGCAGTATGTCAAGCAGATACAAAAAGTACACCTTTAAAACTTAGCGATATTGAATATGACCCTGAAGATAATAGATTTTCGACCCAGTCCCAAATACAAAGATGGAAGCAAAAAGAACTGCACGGGAGCCACGCACATCACCTGCTCCACGAAAATACTGATACTGAAGCATCAAACCTATATCTAAGGGGAACTCTATTTGCTGAGACTGTCGGATTCATAGGCGCCATACAAGACCGAGTAATGAATACAAGAAACTACCAAAAATACATATTGAAAAATAAAAATATCGTTGACAAATGTAGAAGGTGTGGATCACCAAACGAAACCATTGAACACATAATATGCGGATGTGAAACGCTAGCACCAATGGACTACACCCAGAGACATAACAATGTAGCCAGAATTATACATCAACAGTTAGCGAAGAACTTTAGACTGATTAATGAAGACAAACCCTACTACAAATACGACCCGGCTCCTGTATTAGAGAATTTACAATACAAACTATACTGGGACAGAGAAATACGCACTGATATCCGCATCAACGCTAATCGACCAGACATTGTAGTCTTTGATAAATTAAAGAAGGAAGTAGCAGTAATAGATGTAGCAGTACCCCTTAGCCATAATATCCAAACCACATATGCTACAAAAATTAATAAATATCTCGAACTCGCTACGGAAATCAAACAAATGTGGAGGGTGAATACAGTTAAAATACACCCACTAGTAATATCTGCAACTGGAATTGTGCCACTTACACTTACAAAACATCTAGAACAACTGAATGTAAAACACAGCTTAACACAAATAAATAAATCTGTGGTGCTTGACACGTGTCATATTGTCCGAAGATTTCTTGGCTCACAGACAAATTAGCCGAATCCAAGCATATACTGTTAGTGCACCAGCACCCCAGAATACTGCAAAAATAACCCAGGTTAACCTGAGATAATTCTATCAAATAATAATAATAATAATAATAATAATAATAATAATAATAATAATAATAATAATAATAATAATAATAATAATAATAATAATAATAATAATAATAATAATAATAATAATAATAATAATTATAATAATAATATTAATAATAATAATAATAATAATAATAATAATAATAATAATATTAATAATAATAATAATAATAATAATAATAATAATAATAATAATAATAATAATAATAATAATAATAATAATAATAATAATAATAATAATAATAATAATAATAATAATAATAATAATAATAATAATAATAATAATAATAATAATAATAATAATAATAATAATAATAATAATAATAATAATAATAATAATAATAATAATAATAATAATAATAATAATAATAATAATAATAATAATAATAATAATAATAATAATAATAATAATAATAATAATAATAATAATAATAATAATAATAATAATAATAATAATAATAATAATAATAATAGAATAGCGTTTTAGAAGAATAGCGTTTATTGACCAGTTACATACTAGATAGTACATTTATAGTCCTTATAATATAGAAAAAATTTAAAATAATAAAGATACAATATGTAGAATACAAGTAGAAACATGAAAATAAAACAGTATAACAGATAAATGTAAAAATGTGTAAATGTAAACATGTCAAAAAGTAAAAATGTAGAAATGGTAAAATGTAAAATCTTAAAATGTAGAACGTTTAAATATAAAAATCTTAAAACGTAAAAACACAAAAATCCTAAAAAATATGAGCATAAAATACAATACACAGAGGGTAAAACAGTATATTAAACATTTAGGTAAAATTTAAAAATTCTTCTACAGAATAGAAACAATGTTCTAATAAGAAGTTCTTAGATAATGTATAGAATGAGTTAAATTTCATCGTTTTGATATTTTTACCCTTGAATATATTGTTTAATTTGTTAAAAAAATTTATATGTAATTTGTTGTTTTCCGTTACGCAGATTCTGGAGTACTGTGGAACTAAATTGCCTGCTCTCCTTGTATTATAGTGGTGTATGTCTGAATGACTGTTAAAGTTGGCCATGCTACGAAAAATGCTAATTAGTGTTTCAAAAATATAAATACATGGTAACGGCAATATTTTGTATTTTTTAAAGATTTCCTTACAATGAGTACGTCGATGTGCACCATCTATAATACGTACGGCAGTCTTTTGTAAAGTAAAGACTTTGTGCAGACTAGATGACGAGCCCCACAGTACTACACCATACGTTAGATGACTGTGAATTATTGCGAAATAAATTGATCTCATTACATTGTTGCATTTTATGCATGACCTTAGTTGCCGCATTGCATATATTTGACTAGATAACTTTGAACGGAGGCCATTGATTTGTTGAGACCAATTTAATCCGCTATCAAATGTTATGCCTAATAACTTTACAGGTTCTGATTTTTTTTCAAATTTATCTGAACTAAACAACATATTCTGTGTTTTATTAATATTTAATTTTAATCCATTTGATGCAAACCAGGTCATTGCCAAATCTAAGGTTTCTTGGCTAATATCTACCCCACTCTTGGTTAGGAAAGTGGTGTCATCCGCAAATAAAACTACATTACTGAGCTTGTGAACTGAAGTTGGTAAATCATTTATGTATATCAAGAATAAAATTGGCCCTAACACAGATCCCTGCGGGACTCCATTTTTTACTTGCTTAAGTTTAGAATTATGGTTTTTAAAGCTAACATACTGTCTACGGTTCTCAAGATAAGTAGCGAATAACTTTAGTTCTATGTCACGGAAACCATAATATTCCATTTTTTTTATTAATATTTCTTTATCGACACAATCGAAGGCTTTTGATAAGTCAACCATAGTAGCATGTACATTAGTCCGTTGCTCAATGCCTTCTGTAATATACTCAACAACTTTAACAAGAGCAGAAATGGTGGATTTATTTTTTTGAAATCCGAACTGTTTCATTGATAAAATTGACTTGCTCTCGAGGTAGGATACTAATTTTTCTTTTATGAGTATTTCAAATATCTTAGACAGAACCGGAACTATCGCAATCGGCCTAAAATTATCAACAATATCCACATCGTCTTTTTTATGGATGGGTACAACTCTAGAGATTTTAAATGTACTAGGCCAATTACCTTCTTTTATGCACTTGTTAAAGAGTTTTGTAAGAGGATCCAACAATGAGTCAATCGAAGCTTTAATCATAGATGCATTTAAACCAAAGTAATCAAAACCAGGTTTATTTTTTAAAGAAAGAATTGCTTGACGTACCTCTGACTTAATGATTGGTGCCATAAAGAAAGAAGAAGAAGGCTTAGGAAGCTTATTCAAATAATGCATTGGATCAAAAGTTGGACTGTTTATACTACTCAATATAGTTTCTGATATAGATGAAAAGAAATCATTGAAAGTATCGGAATCTATAGAGGTGGAACTGCTCGGCTGAGCTTTTCCGTGTCTCTCATGATTTACGATTTTCCAAATCGTTTGGGATTTATTAGTGGATGTAATTATAGTATCCTCATAAGCCCTCCTCTTAGCTTCCTTTAGTGATTTTCTATATTGTTTTCGCAATTCACAGTGAGTTGTCCAATCGAAAGGAGAATTTGATTTAATAAACATAGATCTACTAGTTGATACCATTCGACGCAATTCTCTCAGCTCATTTGTGAACCATTTTATTTCAGGTCTTTTGTAACTAATTGTTTTTAATGGGAAGCTAACGTTTAAATTTTTAGACAAAGTGTCAATAATTAAACTTGCAACTTCGTTGGATTCAAGTTGTTCTAAGCCAAAATCGCACCAGTTTATGTTTTGAAGTGAATTTGCAAAATTTAAGAGATTTGAGTCGTTGACAACTCTTTTCTTATAATGAATGTTACATTTAGTTGACCTTTTATCAAAAAATATAAAAGTACCAGAGTGATCTGAAATAAAAGGTTCACAGACGTCAGTATACATAATATCTGGACTTATATTTGTGACAATATTATCAAGACACGATCTAGTAGTCATAGTGATTCTAGTAGGTTTATGGATATGATGATTTAATCCATACATACTAAATATATTTCGCAACTCTATTGAATACTCGCTGCTTCCATCAAGATCCTGATTAATATCTCCCATAATAATTAGTGACTCATATTTATGGTACAAATAGTCAACAATATCTATAAATTGTTCTATAAATTTTCTCATATCGCCCCTACTGGAGGATCTATAAGTAGATAAAATTACACATTTTTTATTCATGAACTCTGCAGCACAAAATTCAGCGTCTACAGGTATACAAAACCTCAATACATCAATATTTTTTATCTGAAAATTTACTTTGGCAAAAATAGCAACGCCACCATGTAATTTTCTTTGGCTCCTACAGAACGAAGAAATTAGTTTGTAGTCCGTGAACTTTACAATTTTTAAATTATCTACATCAAGCCAATGCTCAGTAATACAAAGAATGTCGAAAAAGTTTTCATTTAAAAAAATATTTAGTGAGTCAATCTTATTAGAAACACTTTGTACATTTAAATGAAACGCAGAGTACTCAAATTTGTCAAATAGATTAAAATTACTATTAAAATTACAATTGAAATTATGATTAAAATTTTGTGAATACAAATTAGAACTAAGATTCAAATTAAGATCATTTATTGTTGTTTCTTCTTTGGTCGTTACTGGGATGTTGTTTTTTATTTTTCTTTCTATACCTATTTTACATTTGTTGAAATTTTCTCGAACGAAAAAACTCGTTAATATAAATATTTTGAGGCCATATTTCCGCACGTAGCACCTTTTCTACCACAGACTCTGGAACAATTAACTTGAATGAAGAATATCTTTCTGGTGATCTAGAATTTAGTTGTATAACCTCAACTTGAGGATCAATATTTATAAGGTACTGTTTGACATCATTCACTGTAGTGCTTGGTTTCCAATTTGTCGAGTGGAAGAGTTCCATTTTTTCTATGTTCGCTGCTTTTAAATTTTGGTTTTTGTCACTCATAGTTCCAACCAATAGATTTTTGGGCCTTTGGTTTGTTTTGAAATGCAAGTTAGGTGTATGCTTGTTTAGATGAATGATATCATTGCATATATTAGCAGCATTGGCTTCATGAACAGCAGACGAAATAGCGGTAGGCGTAAATGTGTGTGAACTAGGGTTGCTTCTATTTACTAAACTTTTCTCAACTCGAGATGGAACACTTGTATTTTCTCGATAGTTGGTATTATTAGCTAAGTGTGGTATTTGATAAGTATTTATTTGATTTTGATTAATTTTTGGGACATTTTGTTCGTTCATTAGTGTAGTTAGCTCTTTGTTTATTAAGTTAACTTGTCCTTGCAGTGCGTTTATAGCTATCTTTTGATTTGAAATTACTAAATCTTTTTGAACTAACAATTCCTCCAAGTATTTAATACGTATCTCATCAATAGTGTAATA